CAGTCAGCAAAAACCATTCAGGGGAGAACGATTCATGTTGCACTCAGGAGATCCTCCCCCAAGCAGTTCTAGTCAGGCATTTTCTGCAAGCCCATGCATTCATCCCAACATTATCCGGCCTCTGAGAACCAGACCATAACAGCCAGATCTAAAACTCCTTCCTCCCTGAGTGGAGATGCTCAGGTGTACTTTCGGCGGGGGGTCTGAGCTGACCCCAGCCCAGCCAACTCTCCCCTCTAGCCACAGCCATCACTGGATCCCTGACCATGGGATGTCATTCTCAGCATCGTTGGCCAGGAAACTTGCCCATAGGAAACAAAAGCAGAAAGCACAGCAGATTCTGGGCACAGTTTCTTCCCATTAGCATATCCAAGCAAATCCCATGGCTGTGAGGGTCCGTGCAAGGTGCTCAAACTGGGTTAAAACCTCAGGTCTGCACCCAGTTAAAAATTTCTCACCGAAATCACCAAACTCACCGTTACGGATTTCTCATCATCAAAATAAACTCCCAGGTAAATAAATCCTGGTGTTAAAGAATGGAGCAGTTATTGCCTGTTGCTTGCAGGATTTTGTTTTCAGTTGCACGGTTATCAGTCACACCTGTTTATTTTTAACCCGAAGGACGGCTGAACTTGCTTCAGTGCTTCCCAGGGGACAGTTATACCCAATTACACAGCACACCCCCTACCCCAAAGCCTCTGAGAGAGGATTCTTTATGACTGCTTTTGGGAAGCCTGGTCCCCGGGGTCTCCAGGGTCCCCAGGTTCCACCAAGCCTGGCTTTGTCCCAGGGGTTTCTTCAACATCTCCCCCCACCTCCAATCCAAGACCCTTTCCCCAGCATACCCCAGGACTTCTGCAGGGTGCTGCACCACACTCTGACTTCCAGCTAACCTGGCCCAAGTTCAAAGCCATTCGAGCCTTTGGATGCACGTAGACAAGCACTGACACTAGCTATCAGCACTCATACCTAAGAAACTTTTCAAGTTTGCCCTTACAATAGAAGTCTTTCTAACAGCCACAAGGAAGCTGTATGCTACCCTTTTTTTTTTTTTTAGGGGAGGCAGTATAATCCACTACCGCCAAATCTTACTTCTTGGAAAGAACGAGGAATCACAGGGGCTTTTATGGACATTAGGGACTTTCCTCTTGGGTCGCCTGCCAGAGCCCACTGTTATCTTGAGGGGCTGCCTCTTCTCCCTGTTCCCTGTGTTGTCCCACAGGAGCACACAACATTTAAGGCGATAATTGCCAAAGTAAAGTGCCAATAAGTTCAAAATATAAATGTATAATTCAGCTTGCAGCTTGCTCTCATTTGTGGCTCCAAGCCCTGTTGGAGTCCCCTAGCCCTCAGCTGTTAATCCAGGGCAGGCAAGTAGGGGGCCCCAGGGCCTTTCCAAAGCTGATTCCAGACCTGAGCCAGGGGTAAAGCTCTGAGGATGCCCCAGCCTTTTTTCTAAAGTCAAATTCAAGCCCTTGAATGTAGGCCAAGGCCTCAACTGTCATGGAGATGCTGTCACTTGCGTCTGCTCACACCTCCCTTCTCCAGGGGGGAATTGTCCCGCTGATGAATCCTGCTACAGGGACTGAAACTCCCCCCTTTCCCTGGTGGATAGGGAACCCTTGAAATTGGGGATTGACGTATTTCTGTCCCCCACTGAAATCCTAGTTATTTAGGGGCTCCCAAATGGAGCTTGGTTCTCTCACTCAGAAAGTCATCCAAATACGCTCTCAAACCAAATAGGGTAAGGTCATGTGCCCCAAGTGGCCAGTGGGAACGCAGGAGGGTAGGCAGAGGTGTGCTGCACAACAGGTTCTCTGGGAACTCTCGGTGATTTAGTACAACAAAGGTTCCCATGCCCTTTCTTCCTTTATTTACAGTATGACCTCACATTACGTGTCCAATGTGGGAAGTAGGGAGGGTGGCAGACTCTGGTCCATACAGACATCCAGGGACCTGGGCTGACAGAAGCTCCCCCATCTTGAAGCTGCCCCATCTGGAACACGTGGTCTCCTTCAGTCACTGTGGCAAAGGAGAGAAAATGGTAGAGTCACACTCTGCTCTTAAATACCTTGGCCCAGCAGTGACACACATCACTCTTGTTCACAACCCATTGGCCAGAAATTCTCATATAGCCTCCATTAACTGTAAGGGGGCTGAGGAAAGGTCACATCATGCTGGGATGAAGAGGGTGTGGAGGAAATGTGCCCAGACATTCAGCGACCAGTAGAATCTTCTGTACAAGGGGTGTTGTGGGACCCCTCTCAGAGCCAGGGTTTCAGAAGAGCCAACTTGCTGTTCATTCTTTCCACCTGAGGGGCTAAGGCTTGGGAAGCCCAGATGTCTGGGAGAGCCTGATGGGAAAAGCTTTGAGGAAGAGTCCCTACGGATAAATAAGCCCCATGGCAGGCCCGGGTCCAGGGCCTCCACCCACCAGGCTCTAGGTTTGACTCCACCTCTCCCCCCCTTACCCCGTTGACTGCTTTCAATACCAACACCATCCCAAAAAATGAATTTCTCAAGAGGAGAAGCAGGAATGAGAGTGAGGATGAGTTCAGTTTTGGAGGGAGAAAATCCAAGAGACTTCCAGAAGCCATTGTGTCTAGTCCATTTGGGCTGCTCTAACAAAATACCACAGACTGGGTGGCTTATAAACAAGAGAAGTTTATTTCTCACAGTTCTGGAGGCCGGGAAGTCTGAGATCAAGATGCTGGCAGATTTGGTGTCTAGTGGGGGCTCACTTCCTGGTTCATAGATGGCCATCTTTTTATGGTGTCCTCATATGGCACAAGGCACAAGGGAGCTCTCTGGGGTCCCTTTTGTAAGGGTGTTAATCCCATTCATGAGACTCATGAGACCTTCATGACCTAATCCCTTCCCTCAAAGCCTCACCTCCAAATACCATTACACTGGGCTTCGGTTTCAACATATGAAATTGGGGTGAAGGGGACACAAACACTCCGTCTATGGCACATTGGATATGTGCCCAAGCTCAAGAGCATACCCTTGCCATGAGAGAGAGCTGGAAGATACTGCCTTTCTTCCAGGCTTTCATTCCTTCAGCAAATATGGCCACTGTGGGCCATAGAGTGTACTGATTACAACCGTGGGGTCTGATTCCAGAACTCCTGGGATTGAAGGTTGGCTTGGCCCATCATCAGCTATGTGACATTGGGCTAGGTACTTCCCTCTGCCTCAGCTTTCTCCTCTTAAAATGGGGATATTGATAGAATGATAGTATCTATCTCTCTTAGGGTAAGTGTGAGCATTAAATGAGTTAGTATTTGTGAAGTACTCAGAACAGTGCTGGGCACATGATAAGTACTCTATAAATGTTAACTATCACCACTGCAGCCGCCACCATCATCACCGTCATCCTCACCATCATCATCATCATCACCATCACCATCATCACCATCACCATCATCACCATCACCATCATCATCACCATCATCACCATCACCATCATCACCATCACCATCATCATCACCATCATCACCATCACCATCATCATCACCGTCATCACCATCATCACCATCACCATCATTATCACCATCACCATCATTGTCACCGTCATCAGCATAATCACTATCACCATCATCATCACCATCATCACCATCATCATCACAATCATCACCATCATCACCATCATCATCACCATCATCACCATCACCATCATCATCACCATCATCCAGTACCAGATACTGTGCTAGGCGTTGCAGGGGGTGGGGTAGATGTCAAGGTCCCTAAAATGGAAGATAAAGGGATAAATAATTAAATTAAAATGATAATTCCAAATAGAGATGGTATGAAAACAATAAATCGGGTATGTGAAAAATTAAAACCAGGGAGCCACCACTGCATGTCGATTACACTGATATCTACAAAATTGGCAATACCAAGTCCAGGTGAGGATACAGAGCAGCTAGAACTCTCGGGTGTTGCTGGAGGGAATGCAAAATGGTATAGCCACTTTAGAAAACAGTTTGGCAAAAAAAAAACCACAGTTTGGCAGTTTCTTATAAAGTTAAAAATATGTTTACTGTATAACCCAGCAATCCTACTGCTAGGTATTTACCCAAGAGAAGTAACAACTTATGTTCACGTAAAAACCTGTATGTGACTATTGATAGCGGCTTTATTCATAGTTGCCCCAAACTGGAAACCTCTCAGCTAGTAAATGGATGAACAATTGAATACTACTCAGCAATAAAAAAAGAATGAAACTGGGAACAACAAAGAAACAACGAAGGTAAATCGCAAATGCGTTATATGCTAAACGAATAAAGCCAGACTCAAAAAGATACCTGTAGATGACTCCATTTGTTTGACATTCTGGAAAAGGCAAAACTATAGAGACAGAAAATAGGTCAGTGGTTGTTAGGGACTGGGGTTGGCGGGGAGTTGGCTACAAAGGACAGCACGTGGAGAGTTTTGATAGCATTGTTCTCTGTCTTGAGTGTGGTAGTGGTTACACGGCTGTCTGCAGCTGTGAGAATGCATAGAACTGCGCACTAGAAAGAGTAAATTTTACTGTAGGTAAATTATAGCTCAATTAACCTGCCTGGGAAAAAAAAAAAAGCTCTCTGTGAGATTGTTGAGACAGGGCAACCCGAATGACAGATCAGTTAATCAGGGTCGTGTGACACGGGGAAGGAGGGCCTCCCGCACCTGGAGCTCAGGGAGGGCTTTCTGAGGAGGTGCCTTGAGCTGAACCTGGATCAGGAGAAGGAGCGGGGCCTGTGAGGATCAGGAGGAAGTGGGGGCCGGGGGCAGAGGGAGCAGCAGGGTGGCGGTGTGGCTGGCGCTGAGTGAGGGAGGAGTGGTCAGCCAGCCAGAGACCCGCAGGCTGGACCAGGGGACTGGCACGGATGGTGGGGCGTCCTCCTGGAAACTCGCAGGGGCTGTTGGTGGTGGTGGGGAGGCCGAAGCCAGACGTCCTGGGTTGAGTAGTACAGACTCATCTTAGCGGCACTAACCTTCCTGCTCTTGCCCTGCAGTGCATGCTGAGACCGCGACCGATAGGCTGCTGCTCCCTGGGCCCCCAGAGGCTGATCTGTTTGCCTCCCGGCGCCATCTGACCCAGGTAGGCGGAGAGCAGGGGCGCTCCCACTGCCTCATGCCTCTGCTTTGGGTGGGAGGGCTCTGGGAGCGAGGAGCGGAATGGGCCTCGGTGAATGAGCCCCTGCCAGGCACCATGCTGTGGGACACGGGTGGGGTTTAAAGGCTCTGGCCACAGCAGGGCCTCCTGGGGGGCTTGGGGGCCACCGAGAGGCCCCAGGACATATCATTCTGCCAGCCCAGTTGTTTTCTGACATGCTCGCTATCTGCGGTCTGTTCAGCATCCTTTCCCGGCACGCACTTGCTAAGTACGTTGGCTGTGGTAGCTTCTGCATCTGTGGGGCTCCCTTTGCTGTCACTCTGGCTTTTCTCTGCCGGAGTTGCTGCACCAGCCTTGTGTGTGTGCTTCCATGAGTGACGGCTCTTGCTCCGGAAGGCCCCAGCTCTCTGCAGGACTCCCGCCGGGGCCGGGGTGCTCCTCCGGGCACCAGGAGCAGCCCAGCTCACTTTTAATCCACTCGGCGTTTCTCTGCTGCTCCTGGGCGCCCCAGGTGGAGGCTTTCTGCTTAGGGCCAAGTGCTCCAAAGGTGGGCTGGGTTGTGGGCTAGGCTTGCCAGAAAAATTTACAGGATGTCCAGTTGAATTAGAGCTTCAAACAGATAACAAATCATTTTTTAGCATAAGTTTATCCCCAATACTGCATTGGATATACAATTTTTGCTAAATCTGACAACTCTAGTTGTCTGAAGCCCCAGTCCCCCTCTTCTTCTGACGAGTCCTTGATGGGCCCACCTTGACCCCCTTAGATCAGCTGCCTCCAGTGCCTATGACGGCTGTCCTGGAGCCAGGGGGGGGCCAGGCCTGCTCAGGTCACAATCAGTGGACATCTCCTGATCCCCCAGGTCCCACAGGCCAGCCCTGGGGCAGAGACCTAGGGGTTCCCGCTGGAGGCTGTTAAGAGTGTTCTCAGGGTCCTTGCCCTCCCCTCTGCCTCTCTGACAGCAGAGTCCGGGCTGAGGAGGGCATGGGGTGGAGCCGGCTGGGCCTCTGTGCCCATGAACAGAGCTGTGAGACAGGCCTGGAGCTGTGAAAAGAACCAAGAATAGAAAATTGTCTCACGAGCTTGGAACCCAGAGTGCTTGGGGTGCGGGGGTGCAGGTGGGGGGTAACAGGGGTAAGACAGAGCCAGACAATGGAGGGCTTGCAATGTCCTATTTCTGCATCTTGCAACACTGGGGAGACAGGGGAAGTGTTTCCATGGCAAGTAAAGTCATTTTTCTGACCAGTAAGGTAATGTTCTCTATATGTCCTCTACCTATCTATCTATCTAACAGCCCGAAAGTGTTTAAAGCATGCTGTTTGAGCCCTTCCCATAATCTCTTCCTCCCCAGGACTAAACACTGCTAACTAGTTCAATATATCTCTCTCCAGACTCTTTTTTGGTGCACTTAGAGATGTATTTTAAAAGCAAAAACATGGGCTCATCCTAGTTACACTGCTCTGTCACGAGTTTTCACCTAACAACATACTGTATAGATCATTCCAGAGTTCTTCCTTATCCTTTTATGCCCATTTTTGGGTGATCTTTAAATTATGTATCAATGATCAATCCTGCCGGTGGCCATGCAGATTGTTGTGAGCGTGTGGCTGTTTATAAACCTCCCTCAGGGAACCTCCCTGCTGGTGCCTCTGTGTGCACTTGTCTTATGGGTCCTTCAGGAGTGTTTCTGAAAGCGGACCGGCTGGGTCAGACGGCACACACCTTTCCAGGTGTGGTCTCTACAGCCACGTCAACCTCCAGAAGGTTGTGCTGACTTCCCATGTGCAAGAGGCCTTGTCCCCTCATCCTCGCCAGCCGTGGGCATTAGCAATCACTTAAATCTCTGCTAATCTGTTAGGTAAAATGGCTTTTCTTTTGCATTTCTTTGATTACGAATGAGGTTGAGCATATCTGTGTATATGTTTGTTGGCCATTTTCATTTCTTCGTTTATGAATTGCCTGTTGATGGCATGTTCTCAGCTCGTTTTTCTACTCATCTGTCCACTCATTCAGCAGGCATTTCTTGAGCACCTACTATGTGGGGCACCGTTTTGGTTAGGGACCTAACAGTGAACAACACTGACAACAGAGACCTGCCCCCTGGAACTTAGGCTCTAGTGGAGGAGAGATAGTCAAGAGAAATGGGTAAATGAGTGAAATCTAATGTGTGTGTTGAGTGTTAAGTGCGAAGGAGGGAAAAATAAAGCAGGGCAGGTGATGGGAAGTGTTGGGCAGCTGGAGCTGTTAGTCAGGAAGGCCTCCCTGGGAGATGGCGCTGCAGGAAGCACCGGAAGGAAGCGAGCGAGTGAGGCCCGTGGATGGGAGCCTGGGTGCCAGGCAGGCCGGGTGTGTTCGGGGCACAACGAGAAGGCCAGAGTGGCTGGGACGTGGGGAGTGAGAGAGAGTGGGAGGTATGGCCGGAGAGGGACCAGAAGCAGATCACACAGGGCCACATGGACCACCCTTGGCTTTTAATCAGGATGAAGCAGGGAGCCATGGAAGGTTCCGAATAGTGACATGATGTGATCTGAATGTCATTTTAACCAGATCCCCCTGGCTGCTGTGAAGGGGGCCAGGGAAGCAGGGAGATCAGTCAGTAGGCTGTTGTAATGATCTAGGGGAGAGACGGGGGGGGGGTCGCTTTGAGTGGGGGCGCTTGATGGAGGTGGGGAGAAGTAGATGGGTTCTGGGTGGGTGCTAATGGTAGAGCCAATAGGACTTGCTGATAGCTTGGATGAGGTGGAGTGTTTATGTGAGACAGAGGGGAGCCAAGGATGACTACATTAGTCATCTTGGGCTGCCATAACCAAACATCATAAACTTGGGTGGCTTAAACAACGCACATGTATTCCTCACACTTCCGGAGACTGGGAAGTCCAAGATCAAGGTGCTGGCAGACTCAGTTCTCAGTGAGGACCCGTGCTTGGCTTGCAGACAGCTACCATCTCACCGTGTGCTCCCATGACCTCTAACTTAACCACAGAGAGCCCTGGTGTCTCTTCCTCTTCTTGTAAGGACACTAATCTCATCAAGAGGCCCCACCCTCACGACCTCATCTCATCCTAATTACCTCCCAAAGGCCCCGCCTCCCAGGACCACATTAGGGGTTAGGGCTTCAGCTGATGAATTCTGAGGAGCACAAACATTCAGTCCATAATGGAGTCAATCCATGGAGTCCAGTGACTCCAAGGGTTTGGGCCCAAGTAGCTAGAGGGGTGGGGCTGCCATCAACAGAGATTGGACAGAGAAGAAGGAGGAGTGAGTTTGGTGTAGGGGAGGAGAGGAGCTCACCTGTGGACAGGACTGGCTGCATAATATGTGGGACCTGGAGCAAAATGAAAATGAGTGGACCTCTGTTTAAAAAATTATTAAGAATTGCAAAGTGATAACAGTAGGGCATTAAACCAAGAGCATGAAACCACACTCTGGGGCCTTGTGTGACTGCCCAGTGGGCACACCAGTGAGCAGGCCCCAGCTGGGGACATGCAAAGTGTGATATGCCCGCAGATGTCCAAAAAGGGTGGAGTTGATAGTTGGATGTGTGAGGCTGGAGTTCGGGGGAGGGGTCTGGGCTGGAGACACAAATCTGGGATTATCAGCATAAAAGTAGTATTTCAAGCCTTGAGATTGGTTGAGATCATCAAGGGAATGGATATACATAGAAAAGAGAAGCACCAAAGACTTGGCCCTGGGGCCTCCTTCAGTTAGAAGTTGGGGAGCTGAGGAGGAACCAAAAAGGTGAGTAAGAAAAAGCAACCAGTGGGGTAGAGGAGAACCAGGCAGGTATGAGGTCCTGGAAGCCAAGGGCAAGACATGCTTCAAGCATGAGGTCGAGTAAGATGCAGAGGGAACATTGATCATGCATTAGCTGCGGGAGATCACAGATGACCTTGGTTTCAGTGATGGGCGGCGGGCGGATGTGTGAAATGCATCTTATTGACTTGCAGGAACAAATTGATTTATAAGAGGTTAAGGGATTTAACCCTTTATCTGTCATATGTTGCAAATATTTTCTCACAGTTTTGTGGGGGTTTTGTCATTTAAGTTTATAGAGCTTTTCTTAACCCCTTACATGTTGAAAACTGTCCCGTGGTCAGGTTGGCCTCTCTTGACCTTTACAGTTTCTGGCCTTCCCCAACTGCAAAGTATTGAAAATATTGTCTTACATTGTTTTCTAGTTGTTTATGAGATTTAAAAATATTTAAATCTGTAGTTCATCTGGAATGTTCTTGTGTATGTGGTTTGAGGTAGGGATCCAAGTGTTTTGCCCCAAATGATCAGCCAGTTGCTTTGACACTTGACTGAGTAAGCTTTCCTCCCTGCTCTGCAGCTCCTTGGCCATCATTCGATCCCGCTGATCTGTGCCTGGGGAGTCATTTGGGAAGTCGAGAGAACGGAGGCTTGGTCACTGATGGGGGGTGGAGTGTGTGGGGGCAGGAGTGGAAGCGCACACAGTTGCCTTCAGCGAGGGAAGAGGCAAAGGGAAGTTAGGAAGGATGGGAGCTCTCAAGTATGGAGGGCCTCCTGTGTGCCCTCACAGTTCTGCAGGGGTGGTATTCTGTATACCCATTTGCAGATGAGGAGACTGAGGCTCTGTGAGCAGTCATCACATGTCCAATGGCATCAGCTCTTAGGAGGTGGAGCTGAGCCTGGGAGGCAGTTCTCTGTAACCACACCTGTGTTCTGTCCACCCAGGTGAAGGGAGAGGCGAAGGGGAGCAGTTTCCAAGAAGGCTGGAAGGGCTCCAGGCACAAAATCCACCCCCCCCCCCACTCTGCTTCCCCGTCTGCCATTTGGCTGGGTCTTGAAGGTTTTCCCATTTTGAAGAGGAACCTGTTAAAATCAGAATACTCCTGGCAGGGAATCACACGTTAAGTTTACAGCTAACATCTTAATTATCAGTTAACACCTCTGCAGGGATTAGCTGACAGCCAGCTGAGGACACTGAATGGGGGCCGGTGTGATATGTATCTGGGCTGGGAAAG